AGGGCAGGGCGGGCAGGGCTCGGTGCGGAGCCTCAGGCCCCAGGGTCTGTGCTGGGAGCAGGGGAGCAGCCCAACAGAAAAGCACGGATTTACGCCAGTGGAGGAGCTAAGCCTTTGCACTTTAATTACAAAAGGCGCACACACATTTCCAGCCTTGTTCCCAGGGTTCCTAGTGCCAGGAGAGGGGATCCCGCCGCGCGGGGCTGGGCTCTGCTCCCGGGGCGCCCCGAGCACCGGCCGCTCCGGCGGGCCTAAGCGGGGGGGACTGGAGACCGAGGAGGTCTCTGTCTTGCCAGCAGACGTGTCCTCGTCGCCTAGCGGGTTCTTGCCGCAGCAAAGGGTTGTGATCATGCAGTTACGGAACTAGAAGAGAGGCAAGCCCAGGGTGAGGCGGCGGGAGCCCGGCGGAGCTGCCGGGAACCCCCCACCTCTGCGGGGCGGGGGACAATCCTGGTGGAGCCTCCTTCCCTGCTGCCCGCCCTGCCTGCTGCTTTGGGCCGGGGCTGATGCAGCCCCAGCTCTTCCACCGAACCAGCACCTGAGTAATTCCAGACAGGAATGTGTGTATGGAATTTATGTGATGCCAAGGACGAGCCGCACGGTTGCCAGAACAAGATCACCTAGAAACAAACTCCCCGCCTGACCCAATGGTACCTCAAGGTGCTGTAGCTCCTTGCAAGCTGTTGAAAGCAAAGCACAAAAAAGGAGATTGCAGGGCATCCTGCCACTTACCTGTTTGTTCATGACAATGTAGATCACGGGGTTGTAGATGGCAGAGCTCTTGGCAAAGAATGCCGGGATGGTCATGAAGACGGGCCCGAAGTCCGACCCCTGGTTGGTGAAGATGTAGAAAGCAACACTGGCATAGGGCACCCAGCAGATCAGGAAGGAGATGACCATGATGATGACCATGCGGGTCACTTCTTTCTCTGCCTTCTGGGTGGTGGCCGACTCCTGCTGCTGGGCGGCAGCCTGGGGGCAGAAGGGAATGGAAATGTGATGGAGCTGGGGAGGGCTGAGCCAGCACGGAACTGCGGTCAGGGCATGGGGTGGCTGAGCTGCACGTCTGCAGTTTGCTCTCTTCCCCCTTCATGGAGGGACAGCCCGGCCCTGGGGCCCTTTCTGTCACCTGCCTGGAGCCCCTAGCACTGGGGATGCAGGTGGGCCCTGTCCCACCACCACTGGCAGGCACCCACCTCCTTGACAGTGCAGACCAGGTTCCCGTAGCAGAAGAAGATGACGGTCAGTGGGATCGTGAAGTGAACCACGAACATGTAGATGACGAAAGACTCATTGTTGATCTCTGGCTTCAGCGTGTAGTAGTCAATCCCGCACGAGCACTGCATGCCCTCGGGGATGTACCTGCGGGGAGAGCCCGGCTGGTCGGCGCCCGGCAGGGCAGGGTGGCTGGAGACCCCAGCCCTGCC